TATAATTGAAATTCAAACCGATAATATCATAGATTTGGATAATGACATAGATGGTAAGTTTTTATTTATTTATATATTTTATTTATTTATTCTTTTTTTATTAATTTATTCTTTTTAGACCAAGACTTAGAACTCTCGCATCCAGAACCAGAATTAGACCATTCAGAACCAGAACTAGAACTCTCACATCCAGAACTAGGACCCTTGTATTTAGAATCAGAACCCTTGTGTCCAGAACCAAAACTCTTGCATCCAAAACCTTACGTCCAGAACCAAGACCCTTGTATCCAGAACCAGAACCCTCATATCAGCAGTCAAATATTAGTTTTTTTTTTTTTTATTTTTTTTATTTATTTATTTATTTATTTATTTATTTATTTATTATACGAATTACTATTAACTTTATTAATTAGAGCCAAGATTCAGCTTTAGTTTTTGTAGATTCTACAAGTTACTACTCTAATATGCGACATGAAATCTTACGAGAATCTGCCTGAAGAGAACTTAAATTATATATGGAAGGGATAACTAAACAAATGTTGAAAAAAAGAAAATTAATAGAATTCAATATTGGTGATTTAGTTCGTATAAGTATTCTAAAGATCGATCGGTTTGCTATTGATCATTCTAACCTTCTTTGCAAAGTTATAAAGAAAACCAAAAATCAAAAATATCGGCTGGGATGCAAGTATAGCATAATTAATATATGCTATTCGCTAGGTGAAATTGAAGCATTAGAGATCTTTATCTACCCTAAGCTTGATACATACCAGCAGAACAAATATCTGTTCGATAAGCAGCAAGGCTACAAAGTGTTGAGCTAGTATCAAATTCTATCTATAATTGCAAGGGTCCGTGTAATAGCAAATGATGTAATTGTAGGAAAATAAATAGGAAATATTCGAGCAGGTGTTATGACAGAAGATCGTATTTAAATAAAGATTAATTGAGAGCAAATAGTTTAATAGTTTTAATTTGTAATTAAAATGAAATAAATAATGCTTGCGATTGAAAAAATTTAATGAAATTTTTTTTTTAAATTGTTATTACATTCGTTACTCATGTGATCTTATATTGAAGAATGATAATTTAATTGCGTCAGATTACGATTGAGGCACCTCAAGTGACAGATCGATAGGTTACGCACCTTATCTAATGATTACTATTTGAGGTGTGTCAGCTATAATCTGAGTCAAATATTAGTCTGAGGCACAACATATATACGCCAAATTTTAATTATTATATTAAAATAGGTCAACTTTAAATTGATATATCTCTGAATTAAATAAATTTTTTACAAA